CACCTGAAGAAAAAGATGGATGCCGAGAAGACACATCATGAAAACACACTCTTTGAAAAGAGCAAAGAACTTGCTTTACAATTCAAAGAACGAGCAAATGATGAACATTTCATGAAGACACAATTCGATATCTTTTGGAAACAACAGACAGCCGAGATCATCAGAGACACTCCTTTAGTCAAAGATATTGACATATTAAAGGATGTGAAAAAGCTGTTCAGTGAGACCCATGCAAGTCTTCCTTTAGACCGCATGAAACAGAGCAGTAAGCAGAAAGATATGATCTCTTTGCCAAGCTATTCAAAATATGTACATTTGAAGAAATCCAGTGGAATTATAGCACCTTTAAAAAATGTGTGCAACCGAGGTAAAAAGATGATTGGTCGTGTTTTATCTGAAGAGGATGAAGCCCAGATAAGATCTTTAATCACAGACATTGATGAACACACAGATAAAATGATTCAGTCATTTAACATTGGAAAGATGGGTTACAACAACTGCTACATTCAACAACTCGTAGATTACATAAACACGAGAATAAAGCAGCATGAGGACGGGCCAAAAGTGAAATATGTGTTCAAGAGGGAATTCTTTGTGGATCTTAATCTTTCCTTATGTCAAAGAAAAAACAATACATTAAATGATCAATACAAAATGTTCAGGGAAGCCAATGATCCTGTTGTCTATTTTGAGAGGAAGAGTCAAGAGTATTACAGCATTTTCCAGAAATACTGTCAAGGAGCAACATCAACTGCGGTTTTTGGAGAATTTGTTTGTAATAAACTTAAAGAGTCTATTCAGCAGAATATCTACAAAAAAACTGCCAGAGATTTAGCAGATGAAATGATGACAAACTGCGAATCACTAAATGGGAACCGATCAAACCTGGAGAAACACATTTTGAGGAGACTGGCAGAAAAATGTGATTTCAAAGCTTACATGACCTACATTAACAATCCCAGAGAACACTTTAAGAATTTCATCAGAGATGAGGTCAGTCAGTACATCACTGAAAGATTTGAAGATAGTGTTCGACCCAAGATGGAAAACAGCATTAAACAGCTGGAGCAGAAGATCATAAACGCTGCACAACAGTCCACTAAAGATGTTAAAGAAAACAATTCTTTGAAAAACAAAGAAGCTGATCTGTGGTTGTGTCATTTCACACAACAGCTCTCTGATGTGCTGGTATTCTCTGTAAATGACCTCACTGGAGTGAATCTCGATGATCTTGATGTCAGCTTCCTAGAGGAAGTGATAAAGGAAATACTTCCTTCTATAATATCTGATATACGCAGTAAATTCAGTACAGAAACATTTCCAGTAAAGCTGGAACACACAGACAGACCAGATGAGCTTCTGATCGATCACTTCTGTGACTGCTGTTGGGTTCAGTGTCCTTTCTGTGCAGCGATCTGCACAAACACAATAGAAGGACATACTGGAGATCACAGTGTTCCTTTCCATCGTAATGACGGACTGAATGGGTGGTTTTACAGAGGAACAACAAACCTATCGATCAGCATCTGCACATCAGCAGTAGCCAGTGATCGATCTTTCCATCCAAATAGCTCAGATGATAAAGTCCTCTGGAAGGAATACAGAAAAGGAGGTCCTAAATATGAGTCATGGAGTATCACTCCTGATCTCTCTGAGCTGCCGTACTGGAAGTGGTTTGTGTGTGAATTCCAGGAAGATCTGGAAAAGCACTATGGAAAAACCTATCAGGGAAGTGGCAAGATTCCAGATGAATGGAGAAGATACTCTCGAGAGGAAGCCATTGAGAGTCTGGATAAATGCATTTAATGAAACAATCAACAAGGACTCTGATACACAATACACATCTGACATGAGATTACATCACACACTTCAGTGAATGATGCATACACTAAACTACATAGCGTACTAAAACTGCTCAAAGAAGGAGTTCACAGAAAATATTCAAGATTTTAACCAAAGATACAATCAAAATGTTCTGTTAAACACAGCAGAAACTAATCTTTAAAGACAGTAGATTTTTGAAGAATATACAAAAAGGCCTATGTACATTTTTATTTTATTCATTTACTTTTAAACTAGTTTGTCTCGTATTGCAAGATGTTGTTCTGCTTTACCAATGCCATTGACACATAGCTAAATGCATTTCACTATATCAAAGTATCAAAAGCATGCAGAGTTGAAAATCATACATCATTGTGAGAGTAAAGCTTGATTGCTCTCTGTTCTCAGTTAATTATAAAAGTACTGACTGTGCATTACTCTAATATACTATACAATTATCCTCCTCTCTGCTCCTCATATATAGAGATGTCCTTGCCTGTTGATCCTTAAACATTACTAATGTATTCTTGGTGTTGATTATACTCATTTCTGAACAATAAATCGAAGAAGTTTAAACATTTCTGTTTCTTCCCACGCCTGTGTATTCCTGACTGAAGAAGGGAGATACTTTTGATAAAATGCTTCCAGAAAATTAGAATGGAGCAAAATTATTTATTTATTATATTAAAATAGGTAATAGATTATATTACTATTTTATTAAATAGATAATAGTTATTATCCGTTTAACTAAACCAGGTTTGTGACAAGCGTGGCAACTTTAGACCTTCTTGTTTAGGATAATTTATCTTGTTGTTAGAGCTATTTCATAATAAACAATGTTAGAATTGGGACAATTATTTAAGCTCCAGAATTTGGTGTTTTCAACCATCAATATACTGCATTATAAGCCTGATTATAAGCATGCACTCATTGTTGTCAACATGAATTCAGTTTCTTCAGCATCTCAAAAAAGCATCTCTGCTTTGTTGATGGATCTGCATATGATGACATCATCTGTGTTCTTCACAGGCACATGCGCACTTTGGTCAGAGTGAAATAGATGCGATTAAAGTACCTGTTTATTGCGCAAAATCGGCATAGCATGTATTTTGATTGAGCTTAATCGCATCAGTTTGACAGTTTGAAGTATTGTGCTTATACATGAGGTAAAGCTTAATCACAATATTGCCTAATCTCATTATTTCAGTTCATTTCAACAACAAAAAAATTGGTCTTCACAAACAATTTTCATAATAAATCAATTATTTAATTTAGAGTCACATTATGAGGGTGCTTGTAAATGCAGTAAATTTTAAATGTTAAAGAGTCCGCTATGAGTAATTAAATGGTACAGTAGTTCATCTCTATGAAGAATACTTAGACACTGGTGGATTATTGAGTATCCCATCTGGATCAACCATGTAGAAAATCCCAAGTGATTCTGCTGCCTTTGAGTGGCACACACACTCTTAAATATAAAGGTTCAAAGAGAGAAGAAGAATCTTTTAGGTCAACAGTTCTTTAAATAACCTTTTTTCTTACAATTCTATTAATGTTAAACTGATTCTTTATGGATCAATGCCACTAAAGAAGTCTCATTTTTAAGAGTGTATTTGCACAAAATGCGTGAGGCAATAATGTGTTCAATATTTCATTTTATGACTCTTTCTGAATTATTATTAGGGGTCCGAGCACTGAAGGTTGTTCACTAGAGGGAGCCAAACAATAAGTAATTCTGCAAAGTCCAATAATCTTGCTTTAACATGCTTAATAATAACTACTACTTTTGGGACCATTGTAAACTTACAAGTTCTCTTTTGTTTTTTATAATTAGCTTGTTATGAAATATATACCCGCAAAATTCTTGTAGATCAATAAATATATATATTTTTTCATTTTATTAACCTATTTCAAGTTGTCATACATGATTGTATTTATGATTAAAGCGAACACTTCATTGTGTGTCTTTAAATATATTGTATTGAATAGTATTTCAGTAAAAGTACACTTATTTTGGATTTTTTGCACATAAATGGGCAACTTAATTTAGTATTTCTACAGACACAGTAGCTCATTCGCTTGTAACTTGTCAACAAGCAACGACTGAAGCTTTTGTGAATTAGTAATTAAAAAAATATATATTTTTATTAGAGTTAGATGTGTATTTTAGTCTTACAGAAAGAGAGAGTGATTTCTCTTTAAAAGTCATGCTTCTTTCGGGACAATCAATACACTTTCAGAGGAGATTGTTGTGATTCTGATTCTGAGATACAAGGCAATTATATCAACTAATTATTTACACAAGCTTTTAGTTTTGCACCAAGATAATTGTGTTTGCTGCTATATTTATTGTTGTTGTTACAAATTGTGAGAAGCATTATACGATTTGTGTATTTTCCATGTTCATTAAAAGCATTGTTTATTTTATTTATTTATTTATTTATTATAAAGTTTTACTGAAGACTATCAATATTTTTAGACTGTTCTGAACGAAGGCATTTACCAGAGTGATTCTTAAAAACTCAAATGCTTAATTGGATTGAGATCTGGGGAATTCGGAGGTCAGGGAAACACCTGGCTTGAACTCTTCATCATGTTCCTCAATCCATTGATAAACAATATGTGGATTATCCTGCTCACTTCCACCATTGACATGAAGGGGTTTCCCAGCAGAACATTGTCCAGAGCATCATATTCCCTCCACCGGGACTGCGTTCCAGTCCAAAATGGTCATGCCCTTTAAAAAATTATTTAAACTTGTTTTCTTGGTGAACACATTGTTGAAGGGATAGTTCGGCCCAAAAATTATTTTTTTCATTTCATTTATTCACCCTCAAACTTGTATCAATTTCTCTGTTCAGTTGAATACAAAGGGAGAATGATTATAACCAAAGACTTGTGGGGCACCATTGACTTTGTTTAAGGGGTGAACTGTCCCTTTAAGAGACACACAGAAAGGGGAATGTATTTTAAATCAAACTAACACTAGCCTGCTAAATATTTTTTCTTGATGAAATAATTTTTATTATTAACATTACCATATTAATTTTAGCCAAACAATTTTAGCAAACATTTATAATCGTTTCAGTGTAATTTATCAATCCCTCATGTGAGTGTGGGAGTGCGCGGGGTGTGGTGTCGTGTGGAGGTGTGTGTGTCTGTGGTTGAAGGAAGGAAGTCCCAAGTGTAGTTTCATCTGATTCGAGGAATTAGCGGAAACAATCTGAGACAAAACCCCAAATGTAATATGTCGCCATATCAAAGGACTGCTAGATTTAATAGACTACAGAAGATGCTGCTCCTTGTAGCATGTATTATTGGTAAGTCATGTGCCGGTTTATTTATTCAGTCACGGTTTATTTAAATACTAACTTACCGCTATTGGTATAATTTTAGAGTGCATCTGTTTTACTTGTGTTTTAGGCATTGCTGTTGCTGCTGTTGATGATGATAATGATTATGTCGATTCGCTAACGGTGTCTGAAGGAGGAAACCTCACCATCTCTATTCATATCAATAAGTGGGACGAAGACCCTCAGGTTTTAGTTACGCGTCTCAAAGAATCCTCACAGGACCTGATAGCTCAGTTAACTTGTCATAATCAAGTCTGTGAAATCGCGTGCTTGATTTCTGGCGTCTCGCTGATAACTGGTGAAGAGAGTGTAACACTGATCCTGATGAATGTCAGCTTCAGTCAAACGGGGCTTTACAAAGTCTGCAAACTGGGCGATACACAGCCGGAAAACAAGATTTACAACGTGACCGTGAATAGTAAGTAGCATGCCTTCGATTTTTTTTCTTTTTTTTCTTTTTTTTTTTTTTCTGATGAAATACATTGTGGTATTGCATCTGAACTCCACCTTAATAAAAGGATAGTAACTGTTTTATTCCAGTTATGAATAATATTTTTATTTTATTTGGTGCATCTAAAAACGTGAGTGAATGAAATGCAATCCATGACATTTTACACACTTGCAAAGTTTTTTTTTTTTTGTTTTTTTTTTTTGTCTCCGGTAATTTTAAACGACACCTGAACTTGTACGGGATAAATCAAGTTGAAATTAGCAGTAAAAGTAGAAAAACGAAGAGAGTTTTTACTCAAGTAACATATGACCTTTGACTTGTGCGTCATGAGGAGGACAGCCAAGAAGCGTATTGTTCGTGTTGTGTTGCTCAGAAATATTGTAGCTACAAATTACACTGCCAAAGTTTGTGCAGCAATATCTAATAATTGTAGCTTTGAACTAGACACGTTTTTGTAAGCCTGACTTGGTGATGGATGGATAGACAGCTTGATAGATAGATCCATTGATTTTTTTTTTAATCCGGATTTCTTAGGAATGTACGATCAAACCTCTAGTCTCACGATAAACAGAAACTCACTTGAACTTCGTTTTTGTTCTGTTTGTCTTTTACAGAGCCTCCATCCAGTACTGTCAGCCCAGACGCAACACCACCTACCATCTACAGTACAGCATTCACTGCAGGGATAACCACAGCTGTACTGGGCATCCCTATGGTCATCACTGCTGCCATCATTGCTGTTATTTATTGGAAAAACAGGAAGGCAAGTATCATCACAGACCAGTTTATCTAAATCTGTCAATTAATGACAACACTGAACATGGAAAAACTTGGTTTCTCTCCTGGAAGAGGTCCTATTATGCCCTTTTACGAAGTCTTGATTTTGTTTTTGGGGTGTACTAATAAGTTTACATGCTCTATTCTTAAAACCCCTCGGTGTTTTCCAAAATAACACCCTGCTTAACTACCATACTACGATACATTGTTGAAGAAATCCACTAGCTAGTCGCGACTGTTTCCCGAAACCGCACTGTCGCGAATTGGACGTTCAGCCACGTTGTTTAATGATGTCATGCAAGTGGTGGAGTAATAACTTAAGTAATGTATTTGAAATAATGACTGTGTTTGAAATTGAATAAATCCAACCTAGATGTTTTGCAATAATTTACAGACTAGCATCTGAGGACAATTTCTAATTTTTATTTTGCTTTATTTCCAGATTAAATCATAGGCTCATTCTTGCGTAGTAGAGACACATATGCGCACTCTTCAAAAACAACGCTTTAAATCTAGACAAACTAAAAGACGTAACGTAAGCACAGCTCAACCATGCCTCGTCCTCCCTTTTTTGTATTCTGTGGGCGAGGATTATTAAAATGAATGACATTGTGACTACGATCTGGAAGAAGGGCATTGTAGTCCCAACAAGTTTTCTGTTAAAGAGAATAACACACTTTGGAGTGGACTTTGAGATTTGTGACCTTGCAGATCTTTAAGCATTACACACAAACTAAAGTTGAAAAACTGAAAATAGCACAACAGGAATCCATCCTTTAGGAATTTTTATTGTGCAATGGCATGGTTTGGTAAAATAGTTATAGATTATGCTTTTGTATCTACACCATTATTTTCAATTGGTTTGCATGGCATCCTGTGACTGTGTTTTTGTTTTGGATTACAGGCAAATTTTTAACAAAGTGTCTCAAGATGACAACACCGCAGCCAGAGATCAGCCAAGTCATTATGGGAGTTAATGGTAAATACTCAATGTAGAGGAATTATTTTTCACAGGCAACCTCATCCAGTCCAGGAATAAGCTGAATGGAAAAACAGATGGTCATTTTTTTTCATGGTAAATTGGGAAGAGTCAACTATGAGTAAAAAGTGCAACTACTGGGACATTTGTGCGGATCACACGTGTGGATCAATCTGGGATGTGCAGAATTTATTGGCATAAAAGGTGCTAATTAAAACAATGAAATATGTGTATACCTCAGCCAGAGTCGATTAGGATAGGGTGTCCCTTTTGTCATTTTTATACATCTTTAAGCATTATTATTGTTATTAGGTGTTCAATCACTAAAGGTTGCTCACTAGAGGGAGCCAAAGGATAAGAAGTCCAATAATGGCTGAAATGAACTACAACTGATTTGTAGCACCATTGAACATTGACAAAATCTCCTTTGACTTTTTTTTTAATTAGTGTGCAAAGAAATATGCTCTCTCAAATTCTTATAGACCACTAAATGTGACTTATGAATACACTAGAGATACTGAATACACATTTGTCAAGTTGCAAGACATGATTAGATTGATTGCAATTGGATTAAAATGAAGAAACAATAGTATTTGTCTCTTTTATAATAATAATAATAATATAATATATAGAATAATATTTCTGTCATTTTGAGATGAGTAATTTTATGATTTAATATTCATACAGACTGCAGTTGCATTCTCTTGTAACAGCAATGGTCAAATCTCTTTGTTGTAGCTTTTGTAAATTAGTAGTAAACTTATTTATTTATTTTTTTAAAATTATATTTAAACATTTATTTTAGTCTAACAGTAAGAAGGTGTGATTTTCCCCATTGTGAAAAAAGTGGAAAAAAAAGTGAAAGTGCTTATTTTTTTCAGCTTTTTTTAAGCTGTTTTATCAATTTCAAGATTCAAGCTTGTTGTATTTGATTCTGAGATGATACACAGCAGTGGTATGACTTACATGAGCCATCAGTTTTGAACCAAGATCATTGCTGTTTGTGGCAATATTTATTGCTCTTATTGTTGACATGATGAAATTATTTTAGTATATAAAATGTAATTTATTTAAAATAAAATAAACAAGTGTTACTTAAGACTATATTTTGTTACACTTTTATGAACAAAGACATTTACTACTGTCTTAATTTAAATTTCCCCCACACACATGATATATACATGAAATATACAGGATATAAGAGAATGTATATCCTGTCCAATCTGTCCTACAGATTGAAACTGGTTATGCAACAGTCAATTGATTGGAGGATGAAAGCAGAAGCAAAAAAAGTAAAAAAAAAAAAAATTATAAAATATTGAATAAAACAGTTGTACATTTAAATGCAGTCATTTCTGTTACTATTAAGTGAGTTGGCTAAATTGATCACATTGTGAATTGTGAAAATATTTGAATCGCTGCAGAAATTATTGCTGATTCAGAAAATGATCAAAACACAGATGGAGTAGATCGAGTCCAACACCCCCAAAGCTTCACAGTCGTTTTCTCTGTGTTATGCTTCATTTCATTTGGAAACATTAAGCAGTTTTGATTTACAAACTTTTTAACCACGTTATCACCCTTTTCAAATTTCCGGTTTCTCAGAAGCGGAAATCGTCATATCGTCATATGGTGAATAAGAGACAACATTTATTTTTCTGTGTTCCCATTTGATCAAATAGCAAAAGAAAACTCCACAACTGTGTTTTTAGAACTTTCAAAAAGACAAAGAAAAAAAAGCTCTCTTCTGATTGATAACTGAAGTCAGAAGGAAATTCAGAAGAGAGAAAGCCACAGCCGCTAAGTAACACTAGAGACAGTTTATAAAGGACTTTGGTTTTTTTTTATGTATATGTAATATAATACAAAGCCTAGTGGTATAAATGTACACAGGCTACGTAAAAATAATAATAATAATAAAATACTTTTATTTTTAAGGATTTAAGATGCTAATGACCGTTAAAAAGCGTCATCATCACGCGAAAAAGCAAGTCATCAATGAGACCAAGGAGGCTGTTAACGGAAAGTTAAGGCTAAATTATGCGCTGTAGTTCAGATTTGAATATGTTTGATTAATATTGAAATTGCTGAGGTGGATTAGAAAAGTGGAAACGTTTTTGTAATGAAATCTGGTCTCTGTTTGAATACTGTAGTAAAACAACGCAATTAATCTCATATCGTGCCGAGCTGTGCTTGCAGGTGTTTCAAAACCAAATGCAAATGACAGTAATACAAGAATCAACCTTTATAACGTCAAATAGAAAACTTTGGGAAACATCATGTGCTCCACTGTAAGCCTACGGCGTATAATGATGTTATTGGCTGAAGTTAATTCGGACGGATCTGTGGACGATCAGACAAAATATCATTTAAGAAAACAAGATCATTTTACGGATTGCCACCTTTGGGAGTATTTTTGAGGGAGCATCATACAGAGCACACCCACATGACACGACACAAACAGGTGTGTTTTCTCCTCCCTTTTCCGTCTATCAAACGTACATTTTCTTTTCATTTTGTTACGAACATGTAATGGCGTCGAGTTCAGGTAAGAATAAAATCAGACCAAATAAATGTGTTTAGCACACTAAAATACCATGTTTACTGAAATCCTAATGGGAAAATAGTATTTTATTAAATAATACAGTAATATTAATGCTTGAAAATACGTCGTTACAAGTATAAGGGCTGCTTTTCTCCTATCGTAATCTAATGGAGCAACGCAGTTTGATCGCTACATTTTCTTTAAAATTGCGTGAATAGTAAGGCAGCGAGGCATGTGGTAAATGTAATATAGGCCTAATTAATAATAAAAGGGAAAGTTTGTCACCATGTGAAGTCATATAGTAGGCTAGAACAATTTCAGTAACATTTAATAGATTTAACAACTTCATCAAAATTTAATGGTGTAGCCTACTTAATTTATCTTCACAAAACTTATAGGGCTAGGATTTTGCCCATATTGTAAAAAGAAGCAGATTCCTTTTTAAAACCTTTGGAGTATGTTTGGCAGAATAAAAAGGGTTAGGGTGATCCACCCAATCATTTGCCACAAAAAAAAAAGAAAAAAAGAAAAGCATTTTGAAATAAAAGCTAGAAATAATAACAAGCATATGTATCCATCGATGTGCGACCAATCTTTGACACACATTGCCTTCAATATCAGATAGATATGGCCATACAGGAAGTGTATACTGCTGCCATTTCAGGAAGTATAGGACCTACAGAAATTTCCGGGCAAATAAAAATATATTGATAGTTTATTTTATTTTTTATTAATTTTCTGCCCACTTGTCAATTTTGTGTTCAATTTGGCTTTGTTTTATCTGCAGGGAACCTGCGAAGACAAAGTAAAGATCCCCCAGACAAGGAAGCCATTAACATGACTGGTGGTAAAAAACACACACACACACACACACACACACACACGCACACACACACGCACGCACACACACACAAATTTAAAATATTCGTTCAGATGTAATTAGTATTGGGGAAAAAGAGTAATTTACTTATCCCCATGCAGGCAATCATCTTTTGTATTTTATGAAAGAAAGAATATAATACTGAGGTAGATTAATAAATGTTGACAAATTGTTCTTTTTGTGTGAATTATTTCTTTAATAAATAAAAAGGAAATTAGTGAAATTTGAAATGACCATTATTTAGGACCATCTCTTGACCGACCTGATATCAACAATTATATGATAATTCATAATAATCAATGCTGCAAATATAATCAAAATCCGTGAGAAACTGTGTGTATCAGGGAGGTTTAAACCTACAGAAAAGATGTGTTAGTATAACTTTTCTCTATGCCAGTTACTCGGCTGGTCCAGGAACTGAAGTATACCATATGAATCTGCCACGTTCATGGACTCACTTGGTTGAGTATTACTGTTATTTGTGATCTGTCTTCCAGTGAGTGATTTGAGGATTGTTCTTCTGGGGAAGAATGTAGCAGAAAACAGCAGAGTGGGAAACTTCATCTTAGGAAGAGCAGTGTTTGACAGTGAAACTCCTGCTGATGTAAAGCTACACACAGAGAAACACAGAGGAAAACTGAAGGATAGAGACGTCAGAGTCATCAACGCTCCTCAACTGCTGCAACCACATCGGTCAGTCTCTCAGATCACACAGGGAGTGAAAGAGTGTGTGGATCTGTCTGCTCCTGGACCTCATGTCATCATTCTTGTCCTGCAGCAGAACGACTTCAGTAAGAATGACAGAAACAGAGTGAAATATGTGCTGAATGTATTCAGTTATGAGGCTCTTAAACACACTATAGTGTTGAGTAATGATGAAGATATACACAATGACATAATTCATCAATTCATAAAAGAGTGCAGAGGTGGACATCTTCAGTTCGATGAAAGACAATCAGGATTGCACTCTGAGATACTTGAAAGAGTAGAGAAGATTCTCAAAGAAAACCAGGTCCAATTTCTTATCTGTGACTTGTATGAGGAAGCAGGAGAAGCATCAGAGGATGAAGAGCAGAGATCTGGAGTTTCAGTCACAGCGGAAGAAGAGGGAGATCTTGATCTTGAAGATGATGGAAAAATCAAACAGAGCAACAAAGAGAAAAAGGAAGTTGCTTTCCAAAGAAATAACTTGTGTAAGTTTTGTTGCCAAGAAAGTTAATTTAACCCGCACATATACATCACTCCCTTCAAGAGAAAGACTAATTTGAGAAAATAAAAAAAAAGGTTTATAATGAAAAATGATCATACAAAAACAGTACTGTCAATTTACAATGTCTATAACAAACTCATACAATAAACTTAGGTACTCTTTAAAAAAAAAAAAAAATTATTATGAATTTAAAATTATTTGACTGCTTATATACTTTTGGGGAGATTTGGAAAAGATAAACTGAAAAAAAAACTTGTAATAAACATAACATCATTATATTGTTTAACAGATTAGGGTGGAAACTTAATTCCTATTTCACTGTACATTAGCTAAATGGTGTTGCACATTATATAATGGCTGTTGAAGATTTATTAATAATTATTGTAGAGGTGATCATAAAATTGTAATTAATAAATTGTATAAATCATATGGCGATTTTTAAGTAACTCATGTAATTAACCCACTAAATTATTGCCATTTGTGTTTTTCAGTGGCAGAGAGTGCCTGCGCTTTGCCGAAGCTGAATGTGGTTCTGTGTGGGAGTGACGGAACATTAAAAGCCTCCATATCAAACCTCTTCCTGGACCAGAGAGACAGAAGACCCGAGCTCAGCTCAGAGTGTGTGAAGCTGGAAGGAGAAGCTCATGGACGTCTGATCACTCTGGTGGAGCTTCCATCTCTGACTCGACTCTCACAGAAGGATGTAATGCATCAGGCTCTTCGCTGTGTGTCTCTCTGTGATCCTGGAGTTCATGTTTTCCTCCTCATTATTCCTGACGGTCCACTTACTGATGAAGACAAAACAGAAACAGAGGAGATCCAGAAAATATTCAGCTCAAAGATCAACAACCACACCACGGTCCTCATAATCCAGAAGTCAGAGCATGAGACAGAAGAACTGAATGATGCAATGAAGTCTGTCATTGAGTGTTTTGGGGGAAGACATCATTTCCTTGGTCCAAACCCACAAGTGTCCGTGTTGGTAACTAAACTGGAGCAGATGATGGAAGAAAATAGTGGAATTTGTTTTTCCACAGAAACATTTTTGGATGCACAAATAGAGAAATTTGAAGAAATGAGGAAGAAAATAATCTCATTAGAGACACAGATTCAACAGCAAGGTAATAATCAGAAAATGTCTATGTCTCTCACCCACTTTAAATTATGTTTTATTTTAACATTTTAACCCCCCCCCCCCCCCCCACACACACACACACAAACACACACACACACCAGTGTTGTAGTACTCGAGACTCGGACTCGTCTCGGACTCGGTCTCGAGACCATATTTTAATGGTCTTGGTCTTGTCATGGACTCGTGTGCATTTGGACTCGGAATTGACTCGTACTCGAACATTTTTTTTTTTAGGACTCGGAATTATTCCCGAGTCCACTCGAGTTCAATTAAAAATATTTTTCATGATTATTAATGTATGTAAATAAAATATTTCTTTAAATTGATTGACACGCCCAGTGATTGGTGATTTTCTAGTGTGCAACTGCGCATGACAAATTGTAATAAAATTACTTTTAACACCACCTACTATGTGGCCTTTTTACCCTAAACTGATCATATTTTTTAAACTCTAAGTAAATTCAGTAAAAAAAGGATTTCTCTAAGTAAATAAAAGTAAATTAGGTAATCAACCTTCACTGGTCTCGGTCTCGACTCGGACTCGACCGTCTCTGGTCTCGGACTCGACTCTCTATGGACTCGGTCTTGACTCGGACTCGACTCTCTCTGGTCTCGGTGTCGACTTGGACTCGAGTGAGGTGGTCTCGACTACAACACTGACACACACACACACACTTCAAAATTCCGTTTGTGTCTCCTTTCAAATTTGTTTTGTTATAATTTTAAAGTAAAATTAATTGTCACCTGTTGTTTCTGTCGTTTCATTGCCGATTGTGCCGCAACCGCCATACCTGCTCATTAGAATTTTCAGTGAGCTATTTTTAGAGTGTGCACGCGACGTTCCTGAACGTGGACATGTGCATCGACACAGACTCGGTCCTGCTCCTCCGCGGTTGCGCCACAGTCAGCGATGAAACGCCAGAAACAACAACAGGTTACTTTAAGCTAGCATCATATCATCCTGCTCTTATTCACGCAAATGCTTTTAAACCATTTATTCGCGACAAGACAAAAGAAAACGCGCTGCCCGTGAATGTCCCCCTGTCACACACACACACACACTACGCACAGAAAGACGCGCGCCAGTATCAAGTTCAATTTCGCCGCTTGAACGAACAAAAACACACCTGTATGCCAAAATGTCCGTTTTGTCGAGTATCCTCTAAAGAACAGTCTTAAATGAGTTCAATAAAATCTTAAATGAAAGTAAAGAGTAGTGAGAGAATGAGATGCATGAGATCATGACAGCAGCGACAGATCTTAAAGGGATATTCCACCGTCCGTCCATCTTTCTGTGAGTCATATTCAGGACATTCACAGGCAGCGCACTCACTTTTGACTTCTTGTCGTGCAAAATGCAAAAAGGTATTTTCACGAATAAGAGCGGGATCATGTAACACCAGTCAAAGGATGACAAAAAAGAAGAGATGCTGCGTTAATAGCCTCTTCTTCACTCTGAAGATTGGCCACCAGGCATATAGATGTGAAACCTCCAACAATGGCCAGTGTTTCAGTTTCATTGTCCAACCCCTGTACGAAGGGCATGTTTAAAGCACATGTCGCTTGCAGCTACTGTGCTAGGTCAGGAGAGGAGCAGGTCTTCATAGTTGCCCCTTATCGACCCAACCAGGTTTTTTCTTGAAACACCACCCTGCTAAATCTCTGCTTTCTTTAGTCCAGTGGCTTTTCTTTGCTCTTTTGCTTTTTGGGAGAGGACTCTGGGATCGAGAAAAATTCCAAGCTCTTAGCGCTCCCCCCGGACAGCACACCAAATACCATAACATTTACTCTAATTATTTGTAAGTGTGAAGTCGTGAAATTATGTTTTATTAACAAATTTTGGGAGGAGCATGTTCAGATAATTAACCTAATTAACACGAGAGGAGCGCATTCAGTTAATGAATTAAATTACTGAAATAAGAGGTATACATACAGCAGACTTATCTCGGTTCATTGACAGTTTATCAGCATCCCTCCACCACCCCATCTCCTCACTTCTAGTTCTAACTATTCCTATCACAACCTCGTGAAATGATGAAACATGTGGATCTGGGAGTAGTTAAGGAGACATTCACTACTGGAATGGGGAGAAAGTGCACATAATCCCAGTCAGACCATTGCACACAAAATCTCCAAAAACCTGGAGAGGCTGTGGCTCAGACCTAAACATAACCTCTTTTCATTTTTTCTGTAGTGACTCTATGACTTTTATGTAGAATTATGTATTTTAAGCAGAATTTGATCATGGCTCACCTAACTAATGCTCAAAGTTTTACAATCCTACACAGTGGCTGAAAACCCCATTTCAGTAAGCCAGAAAGAAATGTTAGTTTAGAGAAATAATTTCAGGAAACTGTCAGGGATGATGTATTAAATACATTTACTTCATGTCACTCAATAAAACATTTATATATTTATTTCAATTCACAATTTATTTGATTTCAGTTTGTTCTTTTGTATTAGTAATAATTCAGACAGATTGCTCCTAAATGTTTGTAGGATTTGGTTTTAAAAGACTAGCAGCATGACTCTTCTCTTTTTCAGATTCAAGAGAGGTTTCGGATGATGTGAGGATTGTCCTGCTGGGAAAAACTGGAGTTGGGAAGAGTGCAACAGGAAACACCATCTTAGGGAGAGAAGTATTTAAAGAAGATTTGTCTCAAGAGTCCATTACTAAAGAGTGTCAGAGAGAGACGGCTGTAATTGATGGAAGACTCATTACTGTGATTGACACTCCAGGACTGTTTGATACTAAACACAGTCATGAAGAGATCCAGACAGAAATCAGCAACTGCATCTCCATGATTCTGCCTGGACCACATGTGTTTCTGTTACTGATACCACTGGGAAGATTCACTCAGGAGGAGGAAAACGCTATCAAGATCATTCAAGAGACTTTTGGTGAAAACTCACTAATGTACACTATTGTGCTCTTCACCAGAGGAGATGATATAAAGAAGAAGACCATTGAAGATTATCTGGGAAAAACAGGATCTGCTTTGATGAACCTAATCGGACAGTGTGGAAACAGATATCATGTGTTCAATAATAATGAGACTGGAGACCGTGTGCAGGTGTCTACATTACTGCAGAAAATCAATGACATGGTGACAGCAAATGGAGGAAGTTATTACACATGTAAGATGTTCAAGCAGATGGAAAAAGAAAAACGAGAAGCACAGATGAAGATGCTAATGGACAAAGTGGAACAACTGAACAGAGAGAGAGAAGAACTGCTGGTCAAACATGAAGAAGAGAATAAGAAATTGAAGATGAATTTGAAGAAAGATGGAAAGAATCATGGTGCAGAGAAGAAGAGAAGCGACAAAGAAGAATTAAAAAAGATTGAAGAACAATACAAAACAAAACAAGAGAAACTGGAGGCAAAGCTACAAGAGGAAAGACAGAGAAGGGAAGAAGAGGATGGGACAAGGAGGAAGAAAGAACAAATCTTAAGGGATGAATGGGATGAAAAAATTAAAAAAGAAAGAGAGGAAATCAAGAGAGAAAAGGAGAAAATGGAAAGAGAGAAAGAAGATCTTCAGGACAAACATAAAGTAGAAATAGAAAGGATGAAGAATATGGTTGAAGAAGTACAGAATCATAACAAAGAGAAGAGTAGAAAATTAGAAGAAGTTATTGAAAAAAATAAAAGATACAGTAAAGAGATAAAAGAAAAGGAGGAACAAATGCAGAAACATCAATTGGAAATGTATATCAAGTGTAAAATGTATGAAGACAAAATGGAGTCAATAGAACAACAGAAGCAAGATGAACTAAAGAGACTAAAACCACCGGACAATGAAGAAGACAGAAGAAAAGACATAGAGAACATGAAAATGTGCTGCTCTCTAAAGGTAAGTCAATGTAAATTACAACTAAGGTCAGAAGCATTTAGAGGACTAACTAGATGCACTAAGCCAGATGCACTAACGGTTTTGCACCCACTTTAGGCGTATGTGTTTCGTGAAGTACACATAAAACCATGGCGAGGTATGTACGAATGGGACGCACCGAGATGAAATCACAGACTGCCTGTCGTGGGAACTGAAAATGGCAAAATGCGCTTTTTTGGTGTGCCCTTCTTTCCTGAAGTGCATGGAGAGCTTACCAGGTTGTGGACGGCACCTCTCTCTGCCAGAAACTGCACCTGTGTCTGGCGGCCGCTGCCTTTTGGGGGGATCCGGGTCTTCCCCCTAAGGCCTGTGAGTTCTCGTCCATTCCAACAGGCAGAGCTTACAAACCCTGTGGGCAAGCCATCTCCTCTTGCGTGCCATGGCGCTGCTACAGGTCTGTCAGGCCAGGGGATCCATGGACATGGACGAGGGTAGCCCAGTTTGTGTGCTCATAGGTGAGCACCACAGTGCTTCCGACTTCGCCCTCCAGGGCACAAGTGTCGTGGCATGTGTGATCAGTCTGGTGGTGTCCACCTTAGTGGTCCAGGAGTACCATCGCTGACTCAACCTCGTTGATATGGCGGATGTGGACATGGTTCGGTTCCTGCTCTCCCCAATTTCCCAGGTTGGGCTGGTTTGCAACGCGGCGGCGAACTGCATCCAACAGTTCTCTGCCGCCCAAGCACATGTCAGCTTATTTTCACTAATTTTCATGTCAGCTGGGAGAATAATCTCGCCCACAGGCTGAGTATCTCTTTTTCAGTTTTGGAGAAGGACTCAGCCCAACATGTCTCTTCAAGAAGAGTGTGTTCGGCCGGTGCTTGAAGTGAGAAAGGGTCCCACTGAAAGAACTCTCAGAGACTCCTGGGGCATATGGCAGCCACAGACGCTATGGCTTTCTCTATGTGAAGACCACTTCAGCACTAGCTTTATGATCGAGTACCGAAGTGACCGTAGCAGAGCGGCGAACCCTGTTTGACAACAGATCACCCGGCCTGCCGTCAAACCCTCACACCTTTGGTTTCTCCGGGCCAAACCGCTCCTAGAATGAGGTCCACTAACAACGACTGAGGGGCAATGTACAAAGGGCATGCTTTAACGGAGGCCTGGGCGACCTCCGACTGCATTGGTATACGTTACCTCGAGTTGTTGCAGTTCACCTCACTTTAAGCCACCGCTGCTCAGCGAGCTGGTGCTGGTCTGAAAAGACAACACCACGACTGTTGTGCTAAGCTCCCCTCGCATGTTACAACTCGCCCGTCACCTCCTCCTTGGAGTCAGAAGCTTCTGAGGTCGCTTCATTCCACTATTTCTTCCGGCCTGCTCCAACGAACCTCACGACAGCTGTGGCCAGGGAGAGTGGAGACTCCATCCCCTGGCGGTCCAACTGGACAGTTGCATCTGTTTGCCTCTCCTTACTCATCCCTCTGCCAGTTGTGTTTCTTTCTGAGCAGACATACCTTGGACAGACACTGGCTCATCTCCGCAAAAATGCGTTCCCAAGTAAGACTTCTAAGAATGCGGCAATGCGATTCATTGTTGCTTGGTGCCTGCTCAAGTTCAGGGATTTTCATCTCACTCAGGTGTTGAGCAGAAATGCTCCTGAAGCTCAGTGAAATTCATCACACTTTGGTGTTGAGCAGAGATGCTCCTGAAGCCCAGTGATCTTCACACTAGTGTACAGCAGTGCTCCTGTCTTGTGTGTGCATGTCGCTTGCACTTACTGTGCTAAGTCAGGAGTGGAGCAGGTCTTGATAGTTGCCCCTTTTTGGCCCAACCAGACCTAGTTCCCCTCGACAGCTTTCCTGGCTTCCCCTGAATACATTTCAGGGACGGGGCATGATGGCACCTGCGTTCAAAAACTGGACACAGAGGTTCAAGTGGCTGACCCAGCCCTGACTTTTCTCTTTCCGTCTGGTCCATTGCGATTTTACGTGCGCAGAATGCAAATCCTGGACCTCAGACCGGCTCTTGTCTGATACAGAAACCAGCTGAAGGGAAGGCTGTTTCCAAGCAGAGGTTTGCCCACCCTGGTGGTTGCCTTCATCTTAGTGAGAAAGTTTTCCCAATGTGCACTTGCCCACCTAGGTGGTGAGCTCTTCCTAAGTGAGGGTATTGCTCCCTCCTAGGCGTTGAAACAGAGTACCCTGCTAACAGATGTTAAGTAGAGTTGTGGGTTGGGCGACACCCATCATGTACGCTACAGATCTAGCCTAAGTGTCGAACTGCTGTTTCTCGTGGGCTCCCTTCACATGAAGCCAGTTTCCCTGTAAGCTTGTTCGGTTTGCTGCGCCATTCCCCTCACTGGTGGAACCTGTGCTAGGCTGGGTCCATATGTTGTTATCCCTACGGCGATCACAAATGTGTATTCTTCCACGGTACGGCTCTCTGTGGCGAGCCCGTGTCTTCCCTTGGCAGAGCCTACTCTGCAGTCACTGTCCGTTTGAGTCTCTCCCCAGTCATGGGCTGGAGCCACCCCAGTGCCATTCCATGTGTTGAACTGCCCGGTCATCCGTCCAGTTCATATTTTGAGCAGAGATGCTCCTGAAGCTCAGTGATCTTCACACTATTGTACAGCAGTGCTCCTGTCTTGTGCGCGCATGCTGCTTGCAACTACTGTGCTAAGTCAGAAATGGAGCAGGTCTTGATAGTTGTAGGTTGTCTACAAACCGGAAGGTTGGTGGTTCAATCCCTGGTTCCACCTGACCAAATGTCTAGGTGTCTATGAGGAAAACACCTTACCCTAGCTGCTCTTGACAAGCTGGATAGTGCCTTGGCTGACACCGCCGTTGGTGTAAGAATGAGTGACTGAATGGGTGAATGTGAGCCAAAATAAAAAGTGCTTTGGTGGCCATTGGGTCTGTGAAATCGCTATATAAATGCATATTTACCATAGGCCTATGTGTATTCTCCACGTTACCTCCCTTCGGGCAGAATGTGGCTTCCTCAGCGTCCCTTCCTTCCATGTTCAGGGAACAAATGCCCAGTGGTCCTGTAGGAACAACAGTTGCCATTATCCCTATTCAGTCGACGTCGACTAGGTCTGGCGTTCTCGACTGAAAGGGAACGTCCTGGTTGTGTATGCAACCCACCGTTCCCTGAATGCGTATGGGGAATGTATGGGGAGCATTTCACTTGCTTATGGGTCGGCCAGTCAGCCTTAACATTTGGCTGTATGGGCCCACTTCACTAGCGTATGGCTGCTTCCAAAGCATTGCTTTCAGGAGTTTCCCTCCAAGATGTTTGTGATACGGCAGGCTAATCCTCAGCGCATACATTTGTGAGGCTTTACTACCTTGACCTCGGCTCCACTCCAGGGACGCAGGTGCTTTCGCCTGAATGTGCATATTGATTTCACAGAGACAGACACTTGCTCTTATGGCAGCGTGGGTATTAGCATTCCCACAGCGTTTCAACGCAGCTCGAGTTCTCTTGAACGCGAATGTCTTGGCTACGTATGTAACCATAGAAGCTGCGTCTCCCTGCCATACTCCCGGCATGCCTGTGATTACCTTGCTTAAGGCTATTAGAAGCTGATGCTGTATGTTTCAGGTGTGTTTTATGGTTTCCTGGTCAATGATGTCACATGAATTTTCATCACGCCATTCGACTGATTTCATACATGCTTCATGACGCAATCACGCAGAAGCCTTCCCACAGTGTTTCAATGCAGCGTCTTGTTCCGCCTTCAGGGAACCGGGGTTACATATGTAACCGAAACAGTAACATTTTCTCAAATTCAAGTTCACTTGAAATTACGAGGTTTTTCGCCAGTGAGTGTCTGAGATTTGTGTTTTGTCAGTCATTAACGGCCGCATATTCAGCATAAAGTTTTCATCAACTTGCAGGTTTCAAAGTTTATTGTAGCTATGTGGGTACTCAGTTTTTCCTGTCGTTTAATACATTTGGCCAAAAGTGCTATGCACAGGCTGTATTAATTAGAGTACAAATACCAGACTGATACTCTTCTGGGCTACTCAAATATACATTAGGATTTACACACATTGTTTTTCTTGAATAAAGAAAGTGCTGTAGGCCTACTTTTTTGAAGAGCTAGTTCTTTATTTACCCTTGCACTGCAAACAAGCAGACGCAGTCTCCAAAATGCGAGCAGGACATAATTCACGATTGAGGGGGGTGGAGCTGTTGAATCAGCTTTGCCGATAGTTTGAGTATCTTTAGTTTAGTCACAAGCTCTAGTAAAAAGCAATTTAGTGTACAGTTCTATTCAAGTTCTGGAATAAAGTATAGGCAAAAAAAAAAAAAAAAACCTTATTACCGTATTTTTTTACAATCAAACCATTTTCAGAACTGTAAATTTATAGAAGGGACACAGAGCAGAAACTTAAAAAAAATGATTTTGCTCTGATGGAACTGTTTTTAAGCAGGCCTCTATAACATGCTTATCTAAAATTTTTAATTATCTAAAACTTCTTCTTTTGTGGCACAATAACAAATTAGTTTTTATATATGAATGTATTCATTTATTTACAGAAAGAGGAAACTGGTCAAAGCCCAAAGGTCGGACCAAAACCCAATGAACAGCTAGAAGAACTCTATGATCGACTAGATCTGACAAAAAGACATCAAGATAAAATGAAAATCGCAGACATTCTTCAAATCACCAAGTCTTCGTTTCAGTCTCAGGAGCCACAGCAAGAGAATGAACTGATAAACTCCTTCCTACAAAAGCTGATTAACATGGACTACAGAGCAAGATACACAGTCATAAAACACAGAAAGAAAGAAGGTAAAAAAAATAAAGCAAGCTACAACCCTGATATTCACCCAATGGATGTTCAGATGGCCGTGTTTCATTGTGCCGATGGTTTCCTGAAGCAGCTGATGGTGACTAAACTCTCTCAGTGTCAGTATTCACTGCCTCTGCTTGTTCCTGATCCATTCACACAGCAGATTGAGTTTCCTCTCTGGACATTCAGTCAAATCAACAAGAGCTGGAAGAAGAAAAACTCCAATAATGAAATCATCAGTCAAACTCACCCGGTCTACAAGGCTGAGACTCCAATGGTGGCTTTCTTCAGGTTTGGCTCTGTATCTTCATCAAAGTCTGAGCTGATAAACGGCCTCATCAATGAGAAACACAACACATTCTTCCACAGGAACTGCTCAGGCAGCAGCAGAACCAGATTACTGATGGACGGAGTGGTGGAGATCGCCTGGTACTGCCCTTCTGGGAAAAAGACTGACGCATTTGATGACTGTGTTGCTTTCTGTAATCTTCATGGTGATGCAGCAGCAAATGAGAAACAATATGAGATTCTGACCAGCATGGCGTCAGTAAACGTGCTCTTCTTACCTGATTTTGGACAGAAGAACCATTACAAGGGTTTGGTGACATCACTCTTCAAATCTCCTCAACCTCTCATTTGTCTGCTCACTGACAGTGACTGTGATGAAACTGAACTGGGGAATGTAAAATTCATAATTGGGCTTTTGGACAAAAACCTATCTGATGTATCTAATCAGATAAGGGAGATGATCAGAGTGAGTTTGACTGAGCAGAAAATGACCTTCAAACTTGAAGATGTGGCCAAACACAGAGGGATCAGAGTAGATGAGGAGGATCCAGAGTGCCGGAGTGGGAAAGAGGCAGCGGTTCAGATCATGGGATTACTGAGAGGAAAGGATCCATCAACAGTGAAAGAAACAAACCTGCCCTGTCAGGGGAAACTGTGGCATGACTGGTGTAAAATCAACAAAGAGCTGTATCATCTAGAAGGAGAAAATCTAGAGGAAGATAAAAGTACCAAACTCAAGAACATGAGAGAAATAAGAGAAGAGCAAGTGGCCCAAGGAGAGAGTGAGTTCATGAAAACATTTATTGAAACAATGAAATCACACAGAGACAATGAAAAAAACTATGTCCTCAGATGGATGATGAACCTGTTGAATGACTTCACTTCAGAGAAGCTCTTAGGACTTCATAAAGAGTATGATGTGAAATGGCATGAAGTCTCAGCACTGAAAAAAAGGCCTGATAAACTAGATCAAGTGCAGCATGAACAAACAAACCTGGAAAACATATCAGATCAAATCAGTAGAACAAGTTTTGGCTTGGAGCACATCCTGAGAGAGTTTGGTCAGATCTATGAATCGTGGTCATCTGTGATGAAGAACAAGAAAGACAATCTGCAGTTTGACTTCTGTTCTCTCCCGAGTCTTGCAGCTGAGATGATGATCTCTGGATTTCCAATGGAGATGATGGATGGAGATGCTGCTCATATTCCTGTGACCTGGGTCACTGCTGTTATAGAGGAACTTGTTAAGAAACTGGGAAAGAAGACCAGAATCTTTGTTCTGTCAATTCTGGGGGTTCAAAGCTCTGGGAAATCCACCATGCTGAACGCCATGTTTGGACTGCAGTTTGCCGTCAGTGCTGGAAGATGCACTAAAGGAGCTTTCATGCAGCTGATCAAAATATCAGAGGAGATGAAAACTGAGCTGAAGTTTGACTATATTCTGGTTGTTGATACTGAAGGACTTCGTGCACCAGAACTGGCTGGAAGGTCAACAACACATCGTGACAATGAAATGGCCACATTTGTTGTTGGTCTTGGAAATATGACCCTGATCAACATCTTTGGAGAAAACCCATCTGAGATGCAGGACACTCTTCAGATTGTTGTTCAGGCCTTCATGAGGATGAAGAACGTCAGACTGAGTCCCAGCTGTATATTTGTGCACCAGAATGTCTCTGATATCACAGCTGGAGAGAAAAACATGGAGGGAAGGAGACGACTGCAGGAGAAACTGGATGACATGACAAAACTCGCTGCTAAAGAGGAAGTCTGTGATGCTGAAGGATTCAGTGATGTGATTGCGTTCGATGTACAGAATGATGTGAAGTATTTTGCTCAGCTCTGGGAGGGCAGCCCACCCATGGCACCACCAAACCCAGACTACTGCGAGAACATTCAAGATCTGAAGCAAACTATTCTTACACACGCTTCAAAATCAGACGGCCTAATGCTGACGCACCTCAGAGACCGTATAAAAGATCTCTGGGAAGCTTTACTTAATGAACAATTTGTGTTCAGCTTCAAAAATTCTCTGGAAATCGCAACATACAAGAAACTAGAGACTGAATACAGCAAGTGGACCTGGAGCCTTCGGAGTGCCATGCTGGACATCGAAAACAAGCTTCACAACAAAATAGAAAATGAAGTAATTCATGATGTTGAGGAATCTGATCTTCAAAAAGAACTAAATGCCAGAAGTGAAGAAGTGAAAAAGACAATGTCTGAATTCTTTAAAAAAGACGGGCACGCAGCTGTACTGAATCAGTGGAAAGGTTTCTTTGAGATAAAAATCAAACATCTTCAAGAAAACATTGTGAGAGAAACTATGAGGAAATTAAATGGGGTTCTTCAACAGCGTCACCTGAAGAAAAAGATTGATGCCGAGAGGACACATCATGAAAACACACTCTTTGAAAAGAGCAAAGAACTTGCTTTAAAATTCAAAGAACGAGCAAATGATGACAATTTCATGAAAACACAATTTGATTCCTTTTGGAAACAACAGACAGCTGAGATCATCAGAGACACTCCTTTAGTCAAAGATATTGACATATTAAAGGATGTGAAAAAGCTGTTCAGTGAGACCCATGCAAGTCTTCCTTTGGACCGCATGAAACAGAGCAGTAAGCAGAAAGATATGATCTCTTTGCCAAGCTATTCAAAATATGTACATTTGAAGAAATCCAGTGGATATACTGCACCTTTAAAAAATGTGTACAACCGAGGTAAAGAGATGATTGGTCTTGCTTTATCTAAAGAGGATGAAGCCCAGATAAGATCTTTAATCAGAGACATTGCTGAACACACAGATACAATGATTCAGTCGTATAACATCTCAAAGATGGGCTACAACAACTGCTGCATTCAACAACTCGTAGATTACATAAAGGCAAGAATAATGCAGCATGAGGAAGGGCCAAAAGTTAAATATGTGTTCAAGAGTGAATTCTTTGTGGATCTGGTACTTTTCATATGTCACAGAGCAAACAAGACATTCACTGATCAATACAAAATGTTCAGGGAAGCCAATGATCCTGTTCTTTATTTTGAGAGGAAAAGTCGGGAGTACATCAGAATTTTCCAGAAATACTGTCAAGGAGCAACATCAGCTGCTGTTTTTGGTGAATTTGTTTGTAATAAACTTAAAGAGTCTATTCAGCAGTCGGTCTACAAAAAAACTGCCAGAGATTTAGCAGATGAAATGATGACAAACTGCGAATCACTAAATGGGAACCGATCAAACCTGGAGAAACACATCTTGAGGAGACTGGCAGAAGAGGAGGATTTTGATGCATACATCACATACATTAACAATCCCAGAGAACACTTCAAGAATTTCATCAGAGATGAGGTCAGTCAGTACATCACTGAAAGATTCGAAGATAGTGTTCGACCCAAGATGGAAAACAGCATTAAACAGCTGCAGCAGAAGATCACAAATGCAGCACATCAATCCACTAAAGATGTTAAAGAGACTGATGGAGAAGCTGATCTGTGGTTGCTTCATTTCACACAACAGCTCTCTGATGAACTGGTATTCTCTGTAAATGACCTCACTGGAGTGAATCATGATGATGTTGAAGTCAGTTTCCTAGATGATGTGATAAGAGAAGAACTTCCTTCTATAATGTCTGACATATACAGTAAATTCAGTACAGAAACGTTCCCAGTAAAGCTGGAACACACAGACAGACCAGATGAGCTTCTGATCGATCACCTCTGTGACTGCTGTTGGGTTCAGTGTCCTTTCTGTGCAGCGATCTGCACAAACACAATAGAAGGACATTCTGGAGATCACAGTGTTCCTTTCCATCGTAATCTTGGACTGAATGGGTGGCGTTACAGAGGAACAACAAACCTATCTATCAGCATCTGCACATCAGCAGTTGCCAGTGATCGATCTTTCTATCCAAATAGCTCAGATGATAAAGTCCTCTGGAAGAAATACAGAAAAGCAGGTCCTGAATATGCATCATGGAGTATCACTCCTGATCTCTCTGAGCTGCCGTACTGGAAGTGGTTTGTGTGTGAATTCCAGAAAGATCTGGAAAAGCACTATGGAAAAACCTATCAGGGAAGTGGCAAGATTCCAGATGAATGGAGAAAATACAATCAAGAAGAAGCTATTGAGAGTCTGGATACATACATTTAATGAAACAATGAACAAGGACTCTGATACACAATACACATCTGAAATGAGATTACGTCCCACACTTCAGTGAATGTTGCATATACTAAAGTAAACATAGTAAAACTGCTCAAAGAAGGAGTTCACAGAAAATATTCAATATTTTAAAGAAAGATATAATCAAAGTGTTCTGTTCAACACAGAAGAAACCGATCTTTACTTAAAGACAGATGTTTGAAGAATATACCAAATAGGCCTATGTGCATTTTTTGTATTCATTTACTTTTAAACTAGTTTGTCTCTTGTGCATGTATTGCAAGATCTTGTTCTCCTCTACAATTGCCATTAGCTAAATGCGTAGCTCTAACTCGTAGCTAAATGCATTTCACTATATCAAAGTAACCAAAAGCATGCAGAGTTGAAAATTATACATTATTGTCAGAGTACTAATGTATTCTTGGTATTGATTATATACTCATATCTGAACAATAAATCTCTGAAAAAGCTTAAACATGGACACTGTCTTCTGTGTCTGTTTCTTCCCACGCCTGTGTATTCCTGACTGAAGGGGAAGTAGATACTTTTGATAAAATGCTGCAGAAAATGAGAATGCAGCAAATATATTTATTTATTATATTAAAATAGGTAATAGAATATATTACTATTATATTAAATATATTATAGATATTATCCGTTTAACTAAACAGGTTTGTGACAAGCGTGGCACCTTTAGACCTTCTTGTTTAGTATAATTTATTAGAGTATTTCATAATAAACAATTTTATAATTTGGAAAATTATTTAAGCTCCAGAATTTGGTGTTTTCTACCATCAATATACCGCATTATAAGCCTGTCACACAACGTTGTCAACATGAATTCAGTTTCTTCAGCATCTCAAAAATGTGAAGTGTTCTTCATCTCTGCTTTGTTGATGAATCTGCATATGATGATGACATCATCTGTGTTCTTCACAGGCACATGCGCACTTTGGTCAGAGTGAAATAGATGCGATTAAAGTCTTTTTATTGCACAAAATCTGCATATATATTTTACCACGATTGAGCTTAATCGCATGAGTTTAATCAAAGTATTGCGTTTACATGAGGTTAAGCTTTATACTGCCTTAATTTCATTATGTCAGTTTTCAAAAAATTGGTCTTCACAAACAATTTTCATAATAAATCAAAATTGTTGTCAAATTTGAATGATAAAGAGTCAGCTATGAGTAATTAAATGTTACAGTAGTTCATCTCTATGAAGAACTTTAAATACTGGTGGATTATTGAGTGATTCGACATCTGGATCAACAGTCTGATATGTAGAAGATCCCAAGTGATTCTGCTGCCTTTGAGTGGCACACACACTCTTAAATATAAAGGTTCAAAGAGAGTCTATGTTTGTGCCACAGAACAATCTTTCAGGTCAACAGTTCTTTAAATAACCTTTTTTCAAACTGTGAGGAACAAAGATTCTTTAAACTGGTTCTTTCATCAATGCCACTAAAGAAGTCTTATTTTTAAGAATGTATTTGCACAAAATGTGTTTTAATGATGTTCTTAAACTCTGTGAGACAATAATGTGTTCCATATTTCATTTTATGACTCTTTCTGAATTATTATTAGGGGTCCGAGCACTGAAGGTTGTTCACTAGAGGGAGCCAAACAAGAAGTAATCCTGCGAAGTCCAATAATCTTGCATTAACGTTCATGCTTAATTTTTATATATTTTTTTTATAATTGGCTTGTTATGAAATATATACCCACAAAATTCTTGTAGATCATTAAATATTTTTTTTCTTCATTTTATTAACATATTTGAAGTTGCCATACTGTATTGAATAGTATTTCAGTAAAATTACAGTTATTTTGGATTTTTTTGCACATAAATGGGCAACTTAATTTATTTTAATTTATATTACTTTATTATATTAACTTTAGAAGCATTTGTTAGCTTAGTTTTTATTTTTGGGCTGTTTTTTTGTGTGTGGATTTTTTAAATATCATTTCTTAATTTGTAAAAACGAATGTAGGCTAATAGCCTAAACACAAATAATTAAATAAATCTTTAGGCTATGTAGCCTATAGGTGCTTCAAATCGAACTAAAATCATATGGATTTTAAAGAAAATAAATCATGATGCTGCATATTGAGCTATTTCTTTAAAAAACAAAACTATTCTAATCTATTTGATTTACAGTTTAAGTAGAAGGGGCGGGAACAGCGCGCGACCAGACGAAAAAAAAGTGCGCGAAGAAGGGTCGTGACAATAAAAAGAAGAAGAAGAAGAAGAAGAAGAAGAAGAAAGAAGTGACGTGACATGGGAGCCGTTTTTCAGCAGTTAGCCTACTACCTCATTGAAGCTTGAAGGATTATTTGCGTCTTGGATGTCTAGATCGAGACGGGATTTTATCGTTGGTTTGTGAGTAGCCTTTGACTAATTAAAACACACGAAACACGCCAAAGCATAAAACGATAGCCTGTTGAAAGACATGGGCGGTGCTAGTGTGGGCCGACTGGTTTTAAAATGATGACCTCTCAAATGTTTTTCACAAAGTTGTCATGTGAGGTAATTTTTGTCACATCGAAAATCATTAAGTGCTGCAGTCTTCTCAATGAATAAGACGTAATCTTACGCATTAAATGCCGCAAATTGTAGCTTATTCCAGAATTTCGTTATGTAGACAACTCTGAAGTAACTAGAAGAGTTCTTTGTTTACGTTTGTTGAAGCTGCGCTACTTCCAGGCAGTTCAAGTAGGCTAATTACACACAGTGCAGTAGCTATAGGTCTACATTAGCGAAATACTGACCTATGCGTTTTTTGTGATTGATCATAATATGGCAAGTGAGATTTGAGATTTGTTGCAGATAGCAGGTGAGCTTGACTGCACTTATCATGTGATTCTTGTTTCAATGCAGATTGCTGTTTTATAAATTAGATGGTAAATGTTCAAAGTTGAGAGGCATGTGTTGTGATGTTAGAATATTATATTGCACGATGGCTTTCCAGGCTAAACACACTTATTATTGACACAGCTGCCATGGTATAGACCACAATATATAAACCATACAAGTGCACCAGACTAAATGACAGGAAACTATGTAAATTGTGCAGAAACCTTATCTTCATTTGGTTTGGTTGTTGGTCATGCTGGTTGTTTAAAGAGGTCTTCCTTCATGTGGTGCATTTATATCATAAACTCAAGTCAATCAAAATCAGAACAAAAATGCAGGGTGTTTTTTTGGCATTTGGTTGATGTGAAAGCAAAGGAAATTGTACATTTCTGATATACTTAAGTACCACTTCAGGTGAAGGTGGGGGAGATAAGTCCTGGACTTCAAATGACCGCTCTGTTGCAAAGCTACCTGCGTCAAGCGTGAAAGAGAACTTGATTCTGGTTCACATCTTTCTGTGCACACTGTGTGTGTCAGGACATTCACAGACAGCGCCTTCTGTTCTTTCTTGTCTCGCTTGAATGGTTTAAAAACATGTGCATAAAAAAGAGCGAGATCATATAATGTAATGACGGGGAAAAACGAATGCTGCGTTAATTGTGTTAATTTTTTTTAATGCATTAAAATAAAAATTAATCGTATGCGTTAACACTCTAATATATATATATATATATATATATATATATATATATATATATAGCCTATGTATTATATCATCATGCAAGTCAAATTATTCAAATCAGGTATTCAAATCTTTTAGATTTTTTTTTTTTGGGGGGGGGGGGGGGTTATCATAAAATGTGCTGGATACATTTTTAAAATGCTTTTTGTGTAGTTCATTATTTTATGAAATGAGGTTTACTTCATGGCTTAAATAAATTGCATATTACTCAGAAACTGGCATTTTTGGCTTGTCAAAAATGTTACATTCCGCTGTCACAATTAGTTGACATGAAAATCAAGTTTTACCAGGAATGGAGTTGTTTAAATGTAGTTTAAAAGTTGTTTTTATTGTCTCATAACAAAAATCTCATGAAAATGCAGATCCTGTTTTAAATAACCAAAACCATTAATTACCCCTTAACAGATTTCGACTCGTATACATCGTGTATATGCTGAGTGCGTGTAAGTTTTACTGTTCTAAGAGACTGCAAATACAATAAAGCAAATGTAAGGTCAACATTTTGAAGTTGGGGGAAATATTTTTTTTAATTTCGTTAAAAATCCATTTTTTTATATGCCTTAACGAGACAACAAAATATACCCTATATGGAAATTTCCTCTACAAAATAACTATTTTGTGATATATATTGTTATAGTATAAGCATTTGGTCATATTACCCACTCCTACACTATATGGGAAATGCCTCTAGCAAAATGGCAGTTTTCCAACTCTTTTGAGATAGAGGAAAGGCTGCACAAACCCTGACATGATCCCAATGCATATGGCCCAAGACCAGGATAAAACAAACGTCTTTAAATCCATAATGTAATAAAGCACAAGAGAGATAATCATAGGACCGTACATAAGCACTGCAGACGCCAACACGATCAGAATGATGCGAAAAGCCTTGAGTTTGTCTTGATTCCCTCCATCTTTCTTCTTGAAGTCGTCACTAGGTCCAGGATGCTTCAGAGCCTTCAGGACCATCAAGCAGCTGAACACTTTGATACTGAAAAAAACAAGGAGCTCTGGCAAGAGTAAGCTATGAAGTTCAATGATTTCCACTAAAACTATCAAGCTTGAGCTGAAGATCAGAATCCATCCAATGACAGATACGGCAATCCTGTATTTCATGGGTTTGAGCTTTAGGAAGGTCACAGGATGGAGAACGCCTATGTAACGCTCCACACAAGTACAGCTCTGAAACAGAGGACGACCGACCAACAGCACCAGCGTAGGGAAGTATATGCCAAACATGCAATCAGTACAATTAAAGAAATACTGCTTTATGACAAAAACATAGATAGAGCAGTAGAAGACCTCAACAAGTGCTGCATTGAAGATGAAGATTTCGGTGGACTGTCCTTTAATCATCTCCTTCACACTCAGCCATAGTATGAAACAGTTTGCTGGAACACCAAGAACCAGGTGGATTCCGAGAGAAGCGGTAATGAAATAGGAGGATATAGCGTAGCACGAGCTGAAGTTTGCTGAGAAAATCAATTGTTGGCATGTTGAAGCGTTAGTTTCATCCAGCGTCACCATTTTTCCTTTTCCTTTTAATCTATAAGCAAAGGAAAAAGAGAGATAAATAATTGCAGAAAACAATAACAGTAACTTTTTTGAAATTAAGTATAAAGAATGTTTCCTCACAAGAAGCTCTTGATACGGTTATTGTTAGTTGTACTCCAGACGATTAAAGGTGGGACTGAATGTGATTTGTTTTAAATGCAGAAGAACTGCATTACAGTGACTCTTTGGATATTTTGAGAGTTTTTGAGCAGTTTTGCATTGATGCAATATTCAAATTCTGTTTTTCTAACATGACAAAATGCACACCAGACATGCAAACAAAAGGCAATTTTTTCCCCAACCACTTCTATTTGTGAAGTGTAATAATTTTGCCTGTGTTCACAC